CTACAAACTAGAATAAATGTGCATTATGCATTCATAATTATATACATATGAAAATACTTGTATGTTAATATGTTGATATGTTATGAACTTGATATAAGGGTTGTTATCGCTCTATGTTTTTTTATGTACTTTTCGAAAAGGTGAACCAGAATATCGAACATAGAAGCGAATAAAAATTCTTGTTTAGAATGTTAAGAACACACATTATTTGTACTAAATATTCTAAAGATGCACATTTAATTATTCCTAATAATTTTATTTTATTTCTACATCTTTATTTTATTTATATATGTATGTATCAATCAATTATCATATTCATATGTACATAAATACACAACGTAAATATGTACATATGTATATGAATGTGTGATACATTATATATTCAAAGCCAGATTGTACAAAAGGTTGCCGCAGGAAGGGAAAGAATTACCATTTACGATTTGAAAATTTACCTAGTTAAGAAAAATGTTACCAAAATAACAATATGATGCTGTTTTATAAACAAAAGTACAAAAACTTTGATCTGGTAACTGTAAAGTTTATTTCTTTGTCGAGTTATAGGTCAGATATATTTCTGAAGTTTTGGTGGAATTGCTTGACAGGTTCGAGTAGCTCCCATACAAGTCTAAAAGCTTATTTTAAATATTTGGAAAAATAATAAAGACAGATTCATGAGACTTGGCAGTTGTGTGTCCAATTATTGTTTAGACATATTTCTAAAGTTTTGGTGGGATTGCTTGACAGATTCGAGTAGCTCCCATACAAGTCTAAAAGCTTATTCTTAATATTTGGAAAAATAATAAAGTCACATTCATGAAGCTTGGCAATTGTGTGTCCGATTATAGATCAGATATATTTGTGAAGTTTTGATGGAATTGCTTGACAGGTTTGAGCAGCTCCCATACAAGTCCAAAAGCTTATTCTAAATATTTGGAAAAATAATAAAGTCAGATTCATGAAACTTGGCAGTCGGATGTCCAACTATAGGTCAGACATATCCGTGAAGTTTCTATAGAATGATTTCACAGGTTCGAGTAAATGCTACACAATAATGAAAGGTGCAGGGTATAATTCAATCGGTTTATACCGACTGAAACGTTTTTACTTGTTATATATTGCTTGTTATTACCGACCGTATTGTGTAAGCAATAGGTAGGTTATGTGATGGCAACAAATTTTGCATATCGAGTTTTCGGTGGGAATGCACTTCTCTATAGTAGGGAAGTGTATGAAAACTATTTTTAATAACCTGTCGGTCTGTCGGCCTGTGTGTGCACGCGTGCATCTCAAGTTCGGCTGAACCGATTTTGATGAAATTTTATACGTAAGTTTATTCGACCATGGCACAGATTGATCAACTTTTGGTATATATCAGGCCTCGGGAGCTCCACTTTTTAGCGGGCCTGTTGTACATTTTTGACCATTTTAAAGACATTATTCAATCGATTTGCTTGAAATTTCATATATAAGCTTAACTCGACCGTCCGCGAAACCTACTAACTTTTGGAAGAAATCAGGCGTCGGCAACTAGACGTTTACTACGGGCCAAATATACATTTTTGCGTATATAAAGAGAAATAATCAACCGATTTCATTGAAATTTAATATATGAATTCCTCGTATTAAAACAATGAACATATACATTTTTTGGAAAGATCAGGCCTCGAAAACTGATTTGCGGGCCGATTTTACATTTTCCACCATATCTACGGAACGAATTTATGGAATTTCTTGAATTTTGATATTTGAGTTCTGGTTGTTACCGAAAATAACTGGCGGGCATTTCAGGGAATTCGGGTAGCACAAAGCGAAACTCTACTAAAAGCCAAATTTACATTTTTATAGGTATGTTAGCTATAAGCGTACTAATGCCCTAAAAATTGGGAAGAAGTATTCAACAGACATTTTTATAATATTCTGTAACACTTTCACTTAACTAGACAATACACAATGCGGTCGGTTATGTGCTGATCTCATCAGATTTTTATACCCGTGCGAACGTATGTTCGAAGGGTATACTAAATTTGCCTTACCGTTTGTAACGCTAAGAAATAACGGTCTTAGATATAGACTCGAGTATATGTTTTTGATCAGCGTCAAATTCCGAGTTGATTTAGCTTTGTCTGTCCGTCTGTCCGTCGGTCCGCGCGTGCGTCCGTCCAAACGATAACTCAAAAACTAATTGAGCTAAGTTCACCAAATTTTCACAAATGATTTATTGTAGTAAGTGCCAGAATCCTATTTAAATTGGACATGATCGAGGCACCGGTTCGGGTAGCTGCCATATAACTTCAAAATTTGTTTGGCTATAACCAAGAGGTCCCAACAATAATTTTTTCCATTTTGTCTTGGTGAAATGGGATACCAGAATCTTGGTGTATATGAAAAAATTACTATGAATAAAAACAACAAAAAGAACACAAAAATTTGGTATACAAACAATATTTTATCGTAAATTTTTTGTATACCAAATAGATAAAAGTTTTTTACGTTATTCTCTTGGTTTTTCATTACTTCTTTGCATTCTTTCAAGTTATACATACATATGTATGTATATGCGTAGGTATACATATCTACATTCATAAATTCGAAATATTGATAAGATTATTATATGTATTTGTACGTACCGCTGCTTTTCGATATTTTTTCGTTTGAAATAATTGAAATTGTAAAATTTTGGAACTTTTTATGTACACTATAATTGCGTTTGTACAATAGCGAAGGCTGTAGATATTTAATCGCTTTAATTTAAAGTTCTTATGCTGTAATAAACACGCATGATTAAAATGACATGCAAAACATATAAATATAAATTTAATTTAAAAGAAAGATTAAAAAAGTGTGTTACTTCGAATTGCATTCAAAAAAGAGATTCCAATAATAATTTTAAACTTTTTAAATTTCCTAAGCGAAAAAATATTTTGAATATTTGGCTTTCTAATTGTAATCTGAAACAAGAAAAAATAAAAAATAAATTCATATGTAATAAGCAATAAACATAATAAGCATAAACACAAAATTTAGTTCAATTGATTCTAATTCACACAATAACAGACTACAAATTTTAAAACAATAAAAATTCAAATTTAAACATTTTATACTTAATCCATACGAGATCCATACTCTTTGCCATATTTTAATAATTTTTTATACAGATATATCATTACCACCATTACAAACCAACATTTTTAAAAAGAAATATCTAACTTTGTACCACTTTCGATTTCATGAAAGATTCTACTATTTTATATATTACAGTTCACATCATAAACGTTTCACGTAAATGATAATTTTTGTCATAAAAATTTACATAATTTTCGTAATATCATATTCATATAATATACATTAATACATACATATATAATTATAATATATACATATTTCTATAATGGCACAAATTTTTGTCTTTTTAAAATTTCAAATCAAAAATTTTATTTTATTCATAAACGTATAATATCAAACACCATATAATTTATTAAGAAAGAAATTATGCATTCAGTATGTTTATACATACATACCTACTTATATGTACATATAATTTTGTTTGATCTTTATTTGTATTGTATACCTACGTACATACATTTAAATGATCATAAAAAAAAATCAAGATATCGTAAATAAAATCATTGTTCAATTGAGAAACGATATTCTTTGTTTTTCGTTTTTTCTTTTTTCTACGTTCATAATTTTTCATATACACCAAGATTCTGGTACCTAGTTTTCATGTTTGAATTTTTTCCATTTATTCGGCTTGAATATTCTTAACTCAGAAATTATAAAAGCTGTGGTTCTGAAATTTCACACAAACGAGTATATTAGTAGGGCCGATGTACTTGATAAAAGTCGTTATAATTTCTTGGCTCCTTATGGTAGCTGTCGTACAAATTCAAAAGTTATTTGGTTATATCTCAAAAACTGTAAAAGCTGTGGTATTGAAATTTCACACAAGCAAATATATTAGTAGGGCCAATGTGTTTGAAAAAAACCTTTGAAATTGCTCAGTTCCTTCGGGTAACTGCCGTACAACTTCAAAAGTTATTTGCCTATATCTCAGAAACTATAAAAGCTGTGGTATTGAAATTTTACGCAAGCAAATATATTAGTAGGGCCGATGTGTTTGATAAAATTCGTTATAATTTCTTGGCTCCTTATGGTAGCTGTCGTACAACTTCAAAAGTTATTTGGTTATATCTCAAAAACTGTAAAAGCTGTGGTATTGAAATTTCACGCAAGCAAATATATTTGTAGGGCCAATGTGCTTGATAAAATTCGTTATAATTTCTTGGCTCTTTCTGGTAGCTGCCATACAACTTCAATAGTAGTTTGGCACACATAGTATTTTGAAAAACATATAGTACTGAAATTTTGCATTCATTAATATGGTAATATGTCAACTTAAAGTCATAGTCTGTCCCATAGTCGGTTACGGCATCTTTATTTGCACATAGGATAACAAATTCGTACGGGTATCACAGAGTTGACAAGGTCAACTTTATTTTTTTCTCGTTTTTTTATTTTTATATTTTGATGTATAACAAAAATTAAAATCTGGTGCCGATTTCAACAAAGTTCAATAGATGGGTCTGGCAAAAATGGGCTAATCGTAAAATTTTTCATATTTTTAGATATTCTACACTGGATTGGATGTCTCTTGAATATATGTGTGTTTGATTCATAATACCAAAAAATTTTTTTTTACTTTTCAAAAATATTTAAAAACTAAAAAATTAGCAAAACTTTCATACAAAAGAATATTTTAAATAATATTTTTACTAAATTAGAAACCAAAATATATAAATAAACATTTAACAGTCGAAATAAAGTACTGATTTTGACACTCCGAAAAATTATGTCGCCATTGGTGATCCATAGTCTCTACAAAAGGAATTTGTGATAATTCAAAAATCACAAAAGAATTTGTGATAATTCAAAAGTCATGTTTGCAGTTCGTAGGATTCTACGAGTGGAATTCATGATAGATTTTCTAATTGCAATAAATATCAATTAGAACCACGGCTGATAGGAAATAGATTTTTTGTAATGTCAAGACCGGAACTGAATAAATTCACACAAATTTAATGATTTTAATACTGCATTTATACCTTTGTCAAAAATGTAAAAAACCCTAGATTTATGTTGTACTACGTTTTCATTATCTTACAATATTACCGCTGCATTTCTTGTAAGAACTATGTGCAAATATTTCTCAATTAAATATACATTTGTATGAGAATCAACCTCGATTCTATCTGCTCTGGTCAAAGGCCCTTGATATTTTTTTGCAGCATTTGTTGTATAAGGATAATTTTCTGTGGTTGATGAATAAAATGTACCATGAACTTGTAATTTTCTTGACTCCATATAACCCATACGAAACCACTTTGGCCAAAATCTTTTAACTTTTTTACCAGTAATGTTGCATTGCTTTGGAAACTCTTCGGCATAAAATGGATGATCGAATGCTGCGTTATAGAATGTTGGACATAACCCATGTGAACCGAGAGGAGGATTCCCGGCTGCCACTTGTGTTCTTCCGCAATTTCCCATATTCCAATTCTGATGACAATCTCTTGTCTTTGTTCCCTTGTCGGAGCTCGTGTGTATACATTGTACATTAAGCGCTGCTTCTTTAGAGTCGGGTGGACCATGCAAATCGAAACCAGGGCCGGCCATATCACAAGCTGAAAAGTTAAATTTTTTTTGAATAGACATTTTTATCACATACATACATATTTGCAACTATTTTTTAAATAATTTTAACTTACTGTCAATCTCTCCAATTCTACCACTTCCAAATAAGCGTCCAGCTTCAATAGCAATTCTTCCACCTAAGCTAAACCCAAATATAAAGCCTTGTTCTGGTATGAAACCTTTATGCTCCAATTGATTTAGTTGATGAGTTAGCATCCAAGCAATTTTGTGAACATGTTTAGCTAACATAAAGTAATGTGGAATTCTTGCTATGAAACCATAATCCATACACATTATACATCCACCTCTATGAGTTGTGAGTTCTATAAGACATTTAAAAATTTTAGTTTAAATTTTTTACGAACTGATTGCAAAGTTTTATAATTTAACTACTTTCAATTAATGTTTGAACCCATTTCTCTTTACAAGATTCTCGCCATCCATGTATAACAATTGCAAAATGAGATCCACGTGTGGTATTTCGACATAATCTAGAAAATTTTGTTTAAAGAAAACGTTAAAAGTATGCACATATATATACAGGGTGTTTCACATAAGGTGGCAAATAATTTCACGAATGATTCTTTGATAAATTTCCATTAAAAAAATAAAACAAATATTTTGACTTTGACAAGCTTTATCTCGAAAACTATGGCTCAAATCAAATTGATTGAGACCGAATATAAAGACCAATAAATCGTCTGTAAAAGAAGCTTCTATGTCGCATGGTTCCGATGTTATAAGTATTTATTTATATGCAGAAAAAATCAGGCACCTTCATTTTCAACTGGCTGTAGCTTGGAAACTAGTATATCTGCACAATTCTCCCCCACCCATACGAATGCTTGCTGGAAATTGATCAAAGAATCACCTTTGAAAATATTTGGCATTTTATGCGACGCATCCTTCATATATATAATGCATGTACATGATATGTTGTATGTTATACGCATGAAATATCTACTTAATATGAAATAAGCGTGTATAATAACATTAATTTGGATTTGACATTACTTTTTATTTATATAGAATTAAAAATTGTTAAGGTATCTCTCTGCATAAATCAAAATTAAATAATTTAAAAAACAACAATACATTTTGCATTGCACCATTTTAAAAAGTTAGCAGATAAAACACTTACCACAAGTTCCCGTTTTACGAGTGAAATCCTCACATTGTAAGGATTAAACAACTAAATAATTAAACAAGCTTTAAAATATTATGTTATTTGTTCTACGAAAGAAATTAAACTTATTTTTCTAGATATTCAACTTTCAAAAAAATTTTATGTCTTAAAAATGTTCACATTAGAATAAATTTATTTTTGTTACGCTTTATTTTATATAATTTTATTGCGAAAAGCGCAAATTTGCACATGCTTAAACAGCTAAATTGCTACTATAGGTTGTACTTGCGCACATTTTTGTGAAAATTTCATTCGCTAAATAATTTGTTTAAAGAAATAAGCTTAAAAGAAAAAATGTACGTGTATTTATATAAGACATCCATAGCTTAGATTAAGCAAGCATTAAGCATATCACCAACAGGCGCAAATGAAAACATCATATAGTCGCAATTATGCAACTATCTGTTATCAAGCAACAGCGTCATCATTTACACGAAGCGCGGAACAAGCAACAGAACCAAAAGCATCGTTAGTCGCAACCAAAAAAAGTATGGGACCCAAATGGCTACCTTGCGGAACACCCGACCCGGCACAGTAGACATCAGACAGAGCAGAACGGAAAGAAACCCGATAAAATCTGCAAGACAAATAGGAGTAGATCCACATCAAGCTACGAAGAGAAAAACCCACGCCAGCCAACTTTCTCAATATAACCTGATACGAAATAGTATCGAAGGCCTTACCTGAGGGGGGACCTGATCACCCCCCTCCATAACATTAATAGTATCCGAGACAAACCCAACCAAATTAGTAACAAATGATCTGCCCCTCTGAAAGAATGCTGGCCGGAGTGAATAAAAGGACTACAAAAAGAGTAGAAGTAATCAACAAAAATACTTTCAAAAAGTATTTTGGAAAATACAATTACTAATGGAAGAAAGTAAACCATAAGCTGTAGTATTTTTGCTGTCAAGAAAATACAATGCATAAGCATTAAAATAAGCCTTATTCTAGTTGTCGCGTCCCCTACGTGACATTTGTCGTTGTCGTTGTCACATCATTTGAAATGTGGTATTCTGGTTATCGAGTGACGTGAGTGCGAGAAATAATCAAAAATGAAACGTGAAATTGTTACAATTTAAAAAGAAATTTCGGCGTGTAAAGTTCAAACTAAAAAAAAATTTTCAGTGTATATACTTATTTATATTAATAATAAAAAATGTCATTTACATTATGGTTTAGGGATTCATCTCGTTCCGGTAGTGATGAAATTAAAAAATTATTATTATTAGCTTTTATTTATGTACTGAATATATTCGAGGGAAAAACTACGGGTACTCGTTCTACGGTAAAGGCGTTCTCTGTAATGAAATTTCCAATTCTTCAAATTTATAAATACTTTCACGCTAAAAACAAAAATTAAATTATATATTTTATGACTTAAATTATGTATAAAATTTTTTTTTTATGATTTTGTTAAATTGTTTTGTTTTAACTTGCATTTTTGGTGTATCCTTCTTGCTTCTCACTTGTTAAATACTTTTCGACAAAAAACGTAGTTTCCCTACGACATATCTCGCATCAGATCGACAACTAAAATATGGCTGAAACACATTTTCCCGCTATTTCTCGACAAGTGTCACTGCGATTGCCGCTTAGAATATCAAATTCAAGTCGTAACAACAATTGTCACTCTACTTCGACAACTGGAATAAGGCTCAGTATTAAAATATTTTTATTTCCCCAAATTTAAATAAGATTAGCAATTACGATTTTTTTTATTTCCAAGGTAAGAAAAATAACAATAAGCCCTTTCATAAACACAGTGTATCGCGATATTATAGCGAGAACTGCGCTATATTTGTGTTCATAAACAAATGTTGCTAATCAATTTTGTTCATAACTATTGCTAATCTATCACAAAAATATCTAGATTATCATGGCTAGCGCAGTTAAATCAGCTGTACCTTTTTTTTTCTAGTTTTTGCAGTTTGGTTTTACATTTTCAATTGTTAAATACTGTACTTGAAAATAACTAAATTTCTTTTTGTTTCAGTTTTCTTTGTTTGTTTTCCTTAGTTTTAATTTCTCCTAAAATAGAATTTCCCACTAAAATAGAATTTTCCACAAAAAAGAATTTTCCACAGGCTCAAAATAAATAATTTTTTTTGTTAACAATTTTTGTTCATTAACACAATAGATACTGCAAATTCCAAATAGCAAAGGTTTTTATACAACTGTAAATGTGTTTTTCATTGCGTATGTATCACATTATTGTTTTGCAGCGTTGTGTTTATTAAAATGCCTAATATGTTCAATAAAATTTATTATTTATATCTTATAATTTTATTTATTTTTTGTTTACAACTTCTAGATCTAAGCGAACAAGCAAACCATCACAATTTAAAATCATCGCTGTCGTTTAAAAATAACGTTATATACTACATTTTATTCTTGCTAAAAAGTGCTTATTAGTTTTACTCTGTCCGTCCGTCCGTCCGTCTGTCCGTGTGTCTGTTTACAAAACTTCTACACCCTTGAAGATAGAAAACTGAAATTTAACACGTACATAGATCTTTACTAGAAACTAATTTTCGTAAAACATAATTTTTACCTATCTCTCCCTCTATAAAAGTTATACCCCCCAAAACCCTAAAAATGCCATTTTTTAAATATTCATTGCAGTGAAACCATAAGCATTTTTCAAATTTTGCAAACGCAAAAAGGCAGTGGCTTGCTTCTCCTATCACAGCATACTATAGTCAAACTTAGCTTTCAGACATTAACAAATAGTTCATTTCGTTAGAAGAAAATTTTTTTTCATCTCCACCCTCTCTCAAGCTATCACCCCTTGAAATTTGTAAAATTTGAATTTTTGACACCCTATATTTCCGAAACCGCAAGGTTCTTCAAATTTCTATAAACGCAAAAAGTTAACGGTAAATTCCATGATAATAAAAAATATAATTATTTTTCTTAACTCACACAATTAAATCTTAAAATCGAGCATTATGTTAACCCCTCTTTATATTAATTTTTGCTTTATTTCAAAGACTGCATGTATGCATCATCCTAAATATATGCAATCCTAGAAATAGTTTTGTATATGAATGAAAATAATTTTAATAGTGTGGTAGGTGCACATAGACTGTACTTAAAAGCAGAACTTTAACTTGTTGAAGGGAAAAGTGCTACAATACAAACCATTGGTTTGACCCAACTTTATTAAATACTAAGTACATAGAATCTATCACTATTTTTGCCAAATATTCTAAGATATGTTAGTTGGAAAAACGTACCTGCGTTAGTAACTATATTTTCATACACATTTGTTACATGGTACCATGTTTTTACGCATCACAAATGCATTACTCAAATACACACAGATTTTCGACTCGTTTTTTTTCATGGTAGTATACCAGGACTAAAAGATTGCTTTTATCTGCCAAAAAATTGAAGTATTAACTTAGAAATTGTTTACTGAAGCGAAATGAATATGTGTATCATATTTCATTTTGAAAATATAAAAGACAATCAAGGTTCAGATCTAAATTTCATTTACACAAATAATTTCCAATAATTTGTTAGATCGCATGTAATGCTAAAAAGGTTATAGCGAGCTCTAGAACTCTTTTTACACTTCTTTACCTTGGTGTAGGCAGCATTAGTCCTAGTTTGTGAGTTTTTAACTAGCCTATCGCAGTTTTCCCTTTTATATTCAATATTTAAGGTTATTGATGTTTATTGTTTACCTTATTTTACTAATATTTAATATCGGATATTATGAACATATGGTAACTAATTTACTTTTAATTTTTTATGTATGTTAGGAATTAGGCAGACATGCAACTTTTAATTTTGCAATTAATGCTTGTAAATTCGTTGCACACACATCTAAGCCACTAAACTATTGTGTTAATTCAAATCGAGTGCTTTAACTAAAAATCGCAATCAGTTTGCAAAACATTACAAACTGTTTGACTGCTGAATTTCATGCGATTACACAGTTGCATGTGTGTGCGCTTAAATATAAACCAATGATCGTAGCATGTGTTCCAAGATTGGCACGCTTCGAAACTTTGCTGGCACGCGTGATAAGTATATGAAAATAAATTTTTTTTTTTAAAAAGGTTTTTTTATTTACTTTCCAAAACACAATTTTCTTATTTTTAATTTTTTTTTCAACAAAAATATAATTGCGGTTAAACTCAGTACAAAAAATATTATTAAAAACATAATTTCCAATTTGGTTTTAAATTTGAATTTGAATTTTAACCGTTAAAAAAAAATGAGATAAATATGGATAGAGAGCAACATTTTTTCATTTCTATGAAAATATAGTTGAATGCAAGTATGTATATATATGTATGTACATATATATACATACTTGCATTCAACTATATTTATATGTAAACTAGGGGCCCCTGTGGTTTGCTTATAAGCAGCATTATCTGTTGTAAAAACAGGATTGTGGCAATCAATTTTAAAATAAGTTTAGAAAAATTTGTAAATATTATGGCATACATATGCCGGTATATACTTGTATATGCATAAATATCATATTGGTTTGAATACTAATGATAAATAAAAGTAATGGAAATATTTTTAATTTAATAAATTTTAAGATGTAATATGTGTCACTGTTAATTACATATGTAGATATGATTAAAGTTCAATTTAAGAATTAGTTAACAATTAAGAACGAAAAATTTCCTTCTAAACAACGTTATCTAGATAAGTACGTAACGTAACATTATTCGTGTTCTCATATCTCTCACAATTTTTAGTTTTATTTTTCTTAATTCGATTCCATATTAAATACAACAACAAAAAATTATTTTACTCTTACTTAACTCATTTAAAATATTTCGCTTCCTTTTGCTTTTTATTTTTGTTTATGGTAGTAAAGCAAAAAAACAAAAAAAATATTACTACTCTTTTTTTATTCTCTTTCGCTTTTCGCTTTTCATTTTTTGTTTTTGTTTTACAGTATGTATAATCAATTGAGTAATGTATCTACCCAGTATTCTCTTTTGCTATTTTCATTTTTTTGTTTTTGTTATTTATTAGATTATATGTATACCTGTTCATGAACTGGAAAAATCTTGTAAAATATAATATAGATAACCTAGATTTTCATATTGTAGCAAAAAGTGTTTCTATAACGCTTTTAAACTAGCCAAAAGACCAATGTATCCGATTTTATAAAATTAGACCTATTAAGCATTTTTAACTCCATTGTTTACGACCAAAATTTATCATTTCACAATTTAAAGCGAATTTAATATGAAAAAATGCCAAATAATAGTAATTTTAATCAGCGCAAAAAAAATAATTTAAGAGCCAATAAATTAGCCTTTCGTGATGGACATTGATGATTTGATGAAATTTACATTTGATTCGCGGAAAATTTGGTTTTGTGCCTCATATACCAATGAAAGGCCAATGAAATCGCCTTTCTGTAAAATGTGTTTTATCACAGGCTTCGGAAAAATAGCCTAACAACAATCTTACCATTGTATGGTAAATGATGAGCCTGCGAATATTTTTTTTACTAGGTGAAAAAAAAGACCCGAAAGACGAAGAAGGGGAGGCGTGACTCCTAACCTAAAAAATCTCATAAACTCTGAACGGATAAAACAGGTCCTACGGACCTCTTCCCTAACTTGGATGAGCTGCTTCTATATTTACATGCTGTTCTAGGCGAGTCTTATGCTTATGTAGCACAACTTCTAATTTCATCTACAACCAAAGGAATTCCTAAGTCCTTGTGGATGTCACTGTTACGTATATACCTTGGCGCATTTACCATGCCTCGTAGAACCTTATTCTGGAAGGTTTGAATTTTGTTAATGTGAGTCTTTTTGGCGCAACCCCACAGTTGAATGCCATATTGGTTTAATGATTCGGTTATGGTTTAATGATTGGTTTAATGATTAGGAGCCAATAATTTTCTCTATATTTATTTTCTAATTCTATGTGTTTTTTCTTTATATGCTTTTTCCATCTTAGCTTGACATCCAAAGTAATTCCTAAGTATTTTGCTGAGTTATGGATTGCTACGTTAATTCCATTTAAGTTAAATTGTGGTGGATTCACCATTTTCCGATTGGTGAAGTTTATGTGAACCGATTTTGCTTCATTCAACTTCATTTTCCAATCCTTAGCCCACTGGCTTATTTTGTTACTTGCCTCCTGTAATTTTTTTTGTCGAATCGCCAATGATCTTACTGCCAATATTGCAGTATCGTCAGCAAAAGTGGTTACCGTAGCATTTTCTATTTGTGGTAGATCACTCGAGTAAAGTAAGTACAACATTGGGCTCAATATACTGTCTTGAGGCACATTTGCTCTTATTTCTCTTAGCGTGGGGTATTCAGCGTCTTGCTTAATTCTTAATAACCTATCAGATAAGTAAGATTCCAAAATTGCTACAAATGGTGATGGTATCATTTGTCCCAACTTAAATACAAGCCTTTGGTGTCATACCTTGTCGAGTGCTTATGCTACGTCTATAAATATAGAAGAGCAGATTTCTCTATTTTCTATTCTCTCTTCTATAATATTCGTTATTCCATGGATCTGATCTATTTTAGAATGGTTTCTTCTAAATCCAAACTGACGGTTTGGTGTGAGGCTCATACTTTTTATTATGGGCTTCAATCTTCTTAATTGGGAACTACCATTTGCTTTTATCAGTGGCGAAACATGCTTAATGGGTCCTTTTGTGCTCTTTGCCGCCTTCCATAAGAAATAGTTAGTTTCCTTCGTAGCTGACAAGTTCGTAGGATAGGTATTTGCTGTCGGTTTGTACTTTGACATTTTTGTATTGTTCCATACAGCTTTTTGTATGATTTCAATAAATTCTTCTAACTCAAGATCTAATTGTTCTATTGATTGTATAATAATGTTTACGTCAATATTGTTTATTATTTCGTACTCTCTTCCTCTGGTTAAGGTGATTGTAGAATCCCAATCTGTATGATTGGAGTTATATTCACTTCCTAATAGAGTCTGTGAATATAAAAGAGAAATTGGAACATTTGCATTAAAATGATAATCTGTAAAGCGAAAATAAGACATTACAAGAACAAAAACATGAAATAAGAGTACATGAAGCCAAAGATGCTTGCAGTCAAATTTCACATCTAGGTATTCACCTAGATTTCGTCTTCCTTTTTACTGTTTCTCCGCATACCTGAATTGGACGCCAATACCCTGGCGACTTAGGTCGACAAGTAGACCAACCACCACCAGCCTCTGCATCAGTGGAAAAAAACCTTCACCCTGTAGGCACTCCCTACCTGATTGACCTGAATAACTTGGGCACGATGTCTCTTATATCAACCTTGGGAATAAAGACCACCCCAGGAACCTACCAAGGCTCGGGGATGTATCCGAGAGCTAAGCTGCTTCTGAATGTTGTAAAAAAGCAAGACCTCCTCCAGATCTCGCAGCAGAAGCGCTGTTGAAATCCCAACCTCTCTTGGAGCCTTAAAAGGAAAGTGCCAAAAGCCCGTCTCACCCTCTTATACATGAAAATACGTGCCACCCTTTTTTTATCCTCAAGACATGGTGATCTTTATTCCCATGTCAAGAAATGCTGGCCCAAATTACCGTTAGGAAAATGCATCACCAGAAGAAGAGGAGCTCTTTACTCCACATTCTCTGTGTAACTATCATACGGTTTCTTCAAAGATGCTGGGGTCACAGTATTGTCCTTTGCCAATACCGATACTTCCCCGCAGAAGGTTCTGATGCTTCTGCTCGTGGCGCTGCAGATCTCCTTGTTTTAGGTCATCAATTGCTAAATAAATATAATAGAAAAATTTACACATATTCTTATAATTGCAATAACTGAAACTTGGATTCTTGATTATGAATGTAATTTCTTCAATATTCAAAATTAATGTAAATTTGCTTATGTCGGAGCAGTATACGAGATAGGGTTGCTGCTATATTTGTACATGATACGATAACCTAAGATTCATTACTAATGCAATTTATTATGATGAGTTCAAAAGATGTGTTAATTACATAGATATTATAAACTATAAAACGAAATGTAGTTTTACAAATATCTAGAGACCTCCAGAACCTCACCAACATATATATAAAATTTTTTGAGAAATTTGACACATGTATTAAACCTAAAATTTAAAAATAATGTTGTCTTAAGCAATTTCAACTTTAACATCGGAAATGATTCAGATCGATGTGTACAAAATTATAAGGCAAGAGTCGAATCACACGGTTTCACTGCACTGATGAAATTACTATCTGAATCTTGAAACTGCGGTTGTTATTTCACCATGATATTTTGAATAATTTTGGCATATTCATTTAATTCTAAACAAACACTTGATGAATTATTATTTTGTACAAAAATAAATTATGGTATTATAAAATTAAATCTTAACGGTTATGCCATTTATAAATCAGATGTTAATTGGATTGCTAATTTGTTGTTATTATGATTTGACTTTGGTGAAATAATTGAAATTAGAAATTACTGGTACAAAACGTATCTACAGAATAAAAATTCTTATTTTAAATAAAATAAATCTAAATGCTGGTTGAACAAAGAAACAAGTGTAAAGAGGTTGAAGAATATACAATACGATGAAAGGCAATTCAAAAAATCTGATGTGGTCAGCACATAACCGACCGCAATGTGTATTGTCTAGTTAAGTGAAAGGGTTACAGAATATTATAAAAATGTCTGTTAAATACTTCTTGTAGTTTCTTACAATTTTTAGGACATTAGCAAGCTTATAGTTAACATACCTAGAAAAATGTAAATTTGGCTCTTAGTAGAGTTTCGCGTTGTGCTACCCGAATTCCCTGAAATGCTTGCAAGTTAGTTTTGGTAACAACCAGAACTCAAATATCAAATTTCAATAAATTCCATCAATTCGTTCCGTAGATATGGTGAAAAATGTAAAATCGGCACGCAAATCAGTTTTCGAGCACTGATCTTTCCAAAAACTTATATATTCATTGCTTCAATACGAGGAATTTAAATATTAACTTTCAATGGAATCGGTTGATTATTTCTCTTTATATACACAAAAATGTATATTTGGCCCGTAGTAAACGTCCAGTTGCTGATGCCTGATTTCTTCAAAAAGTTAGGAAGTTTTGCGGACGGTCGAGCAAAGCTTATATATGAAATTACAAGAAAATCGGTTGAATATTTTCTTCAAAATCTTCAGAAATGTAAACCAGGCCCGCTAAAAAGTGCAGTTCTCGTGGCCGGATATATCCCAAAAGTTGATCAATCCGTGCCATGGTGGAAATAAACTTACATATAAAATTTCATCAAAATCGGTTCAGCTGAACTTGAGATACACGCGTGCACATACAGACCGACAGACCGACAGGTTGCTAAAAATAATTTATTTACACTTCCCTATTATGGAGAAGTGCCGTCCCACCGAAAACTCGATATGTAAAATTTGTTGCCATCACATAACCTACCTATTGTATACACAATACGGTTTGTAAAAAGCAGAAAATGATCCCAAGAAAATTTGGCAATATGTAAAAACGGACCGACAGGTTGCTAAAAATAATTTATTTACACTTCCCTATTATGGAGAAGTGCATTCCCACCGAAAACTCGATATGCAAAATTTGTTGCCATCACATAACCCACCTATTGTATACACAATACGGTCTGTAAAAAGCAGAAAATGATCCCAAGAAAATTTGGCAATATGTAAAAACAATAATTGTAAAAACGGTAAAAAAATGCGTAATTTTTTGGTAATAGCGAGCAAACTATTGATGAAAATATATAAAGCTTCAAAATTTCAGTGAATTGTATGCAAGAATTGACGAAAAAATTGCGGAAAAATTTGATAAAATGGTATATTTTTCTAGAACTAGAATTCCTATTGAATTGACATTAAAAGTTATAAGTTCCAGTGATTGGTTAAAGTTAATTGAAAACTTGCCAAATATTTTCGCTACTGGTGCTGATCATATTTCCCCATATTTAATCAAAATATATAAAATAAAACGATTGGATAAATATCATGAAACTGCTGTAAGTAATCAACTCAGAGATAATTTGTACAAGAAAAATTTAGTTAAGCAACGCCAATATGGCTTTAGAAGAAAATGTAATATGTAAGCTGTTCTTTTTGATGTAACAAGCAATATTTATTCTTCGACACAAACTTAGCTGCGGTTTTCTTCGATATATAAAGAGCTTTTGACAGTATAGACCTTGACATTACAAAAAATCAAGGCCTTGATACTGCCTTTTTTGTAAATGAATTTGTAAAATTGCATATGTATGTTTGACGAAATGACTTTTCTGAAGAATCATTTTTACCGACCGAATTGTGTATACAATAGGTAGGTTATGTGATGGCAACACATTTTGCATATCGAGTTTTCGGTGGAAATGCACTTCTCCATATTAGAGAAGTGTAAGTAAACTATTTTTAGCAAGCTGTCGGTCTGTCGGTCTGCCGGTCTGTCGGTGTGTCGGTCTGTCGGTCTGTCGGTCTGTCGATCTGTCGGTCTGTGTATGCACACGTGTATCTCAAGTTCTGCTGAACCGATTTTGATGAAATTTTATATGTAAGTTTATTTCCACCATGGCATGGATTGACCAACTTTTGGGATATATCAGGCACCGGGAAATGCACTTTTTAGCGGGCCTGTTTTACATTTTTGAACTTTTGAAGAAAATATTCAACCGATTTACTTGAAATTTCATATATAAGCTTCGCTCGACCGTCCGCGAAACCTCCTAAAGAAGAAATCAGGTGTCAGCAACTAGACGATTACTACAGGCCAAATATACATTTTTGCGTATACATAGAGAAATAATCGACCGATTTCATTGAAATTTAATATTAATATAAATTTTTTGGAAAGATCAGGGCTTACTTTTTTCACCATATCTAAGGAACGAATTGATGGAATTTTTTGAAATTTGATATTTGAGTTCTGGTTGTTACCGAAACTAACGGGCGAGTATTTCCGGAAATTCGGGTAGCACAAAGCAAAATTCTACTAAGAGCCAATTTTACATTTTTCTAGGTAAGCTTACTAATGTTCTAAAAATTGGAAAGAAGTATTTAATAGACATTTTTATAATATTCTGTAACATTTTCACTTAACTAGACAATACACATTGCGGTCGGTTATGTGCTGACCACATCAGATTTCTTATATTAAAATGAAATTTGGAGTTTTCTGTTTTGTTGTTTTAAATTTTCAATATTTTTATACTGAAGAATAAGTGAGATTTTTTATTTTTTTTAATCAAGTTTTTGTGTCGTTAATTTAATTAAAAATATAAAAATTTTAAATGAAAAGAAAATTTAAAGTTTATACTTTGAATTGGTAAAAAAGTCAACATTCTGGAGGAATTTTTAAAGGATATATGGAAATTTGAAAGAAAAGGGTTCCAAAATTTTTATAAAGGTAATACA